ACAAACTTTGCGGAGATCTCAACGTGGAAAGTGGGAAATAAACAGCGCTGTAGCTACCTGAATACACATTACTTCTAGAGAGATATGTTAGTGGAAGATTGTCGGATGGAGAAACTGGAAAATATTGTTCCAGAATAGGAACCTCAAGTCGCTTAGTGGAATGGTATAATATATAATGGAGCAGACGTTAATGGGGTCACTATGATATAACTCGTATTCTGGAGGGATCTACTTTGATGAGTTAAAAAGAATTTACAGAGTGTGCTGCAGGTTGATCTCTATTTGAGAGCTGACTGGTAACGTTATTCACAACCTATACAGATTTCAGAGCCATTTGCAGTTGCTGGAATCCTCTGATTTCAAAATCAAAAATAGCGAAATTGTATTACTTGTCGAAATCTATATGAGGTTTGTTTCCATATCTAATTCAGAAATTGAACTTTGAACAGAGCTCATAACTGGACGACAAACACATTCGGAACCATCGAAGTTAAAATGGACAAATTGATGAGAACACTGTTTCAACAGGCTGAAATTGTATTACTACTTGACATTTGATTATCATCTTTACCTGGCGCATTATGACATTATCCCATCCTGTAATTGGCTCCGGCTGTTGAATGGTGTATGAATAAAATGAAAATGAAAATAAAATGAGATGAGCTTCACTCACATGTCGATTAGGAGTATCCTAACCCAATTCATCTTTGTATACAGCAAGAGCAGTATGTGATGAGTAAATTATTGACATGCTTCGATTTTGTGTTACAAAGTTCGATGATGTGTCACCTTGTCCTGTTGAAATTATATATCTGTACCAGTCTTTGTCATTGCATTAACACTTGTATATAATATATTCTCATGATTCTTCTGATATTGAAAATAAAAACTCTTCGAATGCTTAGAGTAGAGAATTATACCGACTGCAGCGCAAACGAGAGTAGGATGATCAGAAGTATCGACATGATTCGATATGTCACAAATGTGGGTCATTAGGCGAATTAAAGTAGTCTCGGCGTTGGGAATTGAACCCTATGCCTCCGGACTGCCAGCGAACCCATTGTCCAAAAACTGATACTATCCGAGATAGCACACAATCGCCAAGGGTCATCCTCAATGTGTCGCCAAACGCCAAGAGAGAACGTTATGTATTCTACAACCTAAGAACATCATCAGGCGTAGATTTAGCGCCGTAATTGTCCTACAAAAGTTATTTCAGTGACAGCCCTTGGCTGCAGCCAATTGCGTGCCTACGGATGTCTTCAGATGACATACCATGAAATAACGTGTCGACGAAGCCAAAAGGAAGAAGAAGAAGAACTAGAAATACTAGAAGTGAGGTTAATACCCATGATAATATTTCTCTGGGGAATTGATAAGATAATAAGAAATACAGGTAATTAATTGATCGAATCATTGATAGTAGGTAATGGACATAAAATATTAAGTATATTATTTCATTTCAGGAGGTTATTAAGAACACAAACTTGATGATATCATCAGAGCAGAAATGTTACATTCCAAGATATTTTGGCTCCTTCGGAATCTATCAAATATTGTATGATGGCTTGAACTTTCAGTGGATTCAATAAAGATAGGTACCTACCTGAATCAACTCATTGATAATAGGTACTGGACATGAAATATTAATACATTATCATTTGTTCCAGGAGGTTTTTGATGAGAACACAAACTGTTTCATTCCAAGAAATTTTGGCTTCTTCGGAATCTATAAAAGATTGTATACAGGCTTGAACTCTCGGTAGATTCAATGAAGGTAGGTATCTGAATCAAAATATTGATAGTATAGGTAGGTACTGGACATGAAATATTAATACATTATTTATTTCAGGAGGTTATTGAGAACACAAACTTTTGATACTATCATCAGAGCAGAGTTGTTCAAATCAAAGATATTTTGGCTTCCTCGGAATCCATAAGAGATTGTATACGGTCTTGAACTTTCAGTGAATTGAGCATCAGAAAGTATGTCCCGGGTTCAGAAATAACAAATGATAACAAGAAGAGGACTTACAACAGAATTAGAACGAAACAAAAATCATTATAATGTATTACCTACATATGTTGATGATGAGTTTTCTCTGACGAAGAAAGGAACAAAGGTAGGTGGATCAAATCATAGATATGACATGGATATGAGATATTGAATCATTGTTTGTTTCAGAAGGTTATGGAAAACACAAACTTGATGTCATCTATGAAATATTGTATGAAGGCTTCAACTTTCAGTAGATTCAGCATAAGGAAGCATATCCAGAGTTGAGAAATCAAAAACAACATAAAGAAATATTACCAATGGGCAATAACTTCTAGTAGAACTCAACAAGAAGCTGAGATACATTTTTTCAAAACAAAACTCGAAAATATCTACCAATTAGTTATAAATGATAGAATGTAAGTTTTTTATTTGAACATATTATTATTCCAGAGAAATTTCGCGAATATCATGATATCCATATTTTTTCAATGAAATTTCATTTTTATCAACCTATCCCTAGACATTTTTGGAAAATACCTACAGATGTTCCATAATGTCCTATACATGTTCCAAAAGACCTTATAGGGATGTTCTAAGACGTTATTAGGATGTAGAGAACGGTAACAGGAAGACATTATTGTGAACGCCTCAGAAGGGCCTCAAAAGGTATTTGTGCTATCTGGGTATCCTTTACAGCATTTCGAAATTATCATCGATACTATGTTTAATTTTTAAAAGTTGGTTGGCGTATGTTTAATCTAATTCCTTTTCCAAAAAATACATCTTATGTTCATTGATGCGCTGATTAAACGTACGACCTGTCTGACCGATATAAACCTCAGGATAAAAACCACAGTTGATGAGTTTGTATACCCCTCCTGATTTTCCTAGTGATGAAGTTTTGTCTTTTTTGTTTTTGAAAAACCTTCCCAACGTTTTTTGTATTATATGCTACTCTCAAGTCCTATATTCATGTAGAATTTTTCAGTTGATGATCCGAAATGGGTTGAGAGTCTATAATTTTGAGTTTTATTCTCGATGGAAGGATGAACTCATTAAAAAGCTGCATTATGGAGTTTTTCTGAAAAAATACTGTCTATCAAAATTCATCATTCATACTGATCCAGCATGGTGATGTATTTCAATATGAATTTTGATAATACTATAATTTCACATTCCAAATGTTTTCACAATCATCTGCATATTTTATGTCTTGACTGTTGTGGAAATTATAGTTTCGGCTGATGGCACCATATTATAGCATGAAATGTCTGATTTTCATATCATCCATGTAACTAATCTTAACGAAGATGCACGTTTATTTTTACTAACTGGACTTATCCACATCCATAAGATATACCATAACCATACCATAAAAAGTAGAAAATCATAATCAATGCCCGAATACATTGAAAGATTCCAAAATAGGAACTTCAGACGCATTCAATAGTACTTGTTGTTGAGCTAACTCACACAACAGTTTATATCATTTGCAGTATGATCTGTTTGATTAGGATTCTTCGAATATCACCAAGTATTCTCATCATTATCGATTATGAATTCTTAATCATCTCGAAGTTTCCTCTCCGATTCGGAAACGTAATAGGAACATTCTTTGATATAATATTAAATATTCTCATGAAGCAAAATTATGGAGATAGTGGAGCATAAGTCTACGGTTATGATGCGTACAAAAACATTGAAGATAAATAGATGTGGCCTCGCTTCTTAGTTTCACAACGTAGGAAAATTCGCTGAATCAACAATTCGATGCTTAGTCTTCTGTAAAATGCTACGATTCATTCTCCACAAAGTAATCTCTATTCTAGACACACTAGAGACGCATACACATAGCCTGATGCTACATCATTAATACCTCTCTGGAAAAACCAGCGTTTTATCTCTACGACCCAAATGCGACCGCTGAAAGATGTTTTCATTTTATTTCAGGACATTTATATCCATATAGAACATATTATTTGACAGAAAGCTGCGTACAGAAGACAACGTGGCAAATGGATTTGCTGCCTTAGCCGCACAGAAATCCATGAATCTAAATTGAAATATTGCACGCTGTTGCATTTGATGTTGAGGAAATCTCCTTCAGAATTGACAACATACTGATACACTGATTCTAATCGAAGTATGAAATTGAGTCTGACAATCAGATACCATCATTTCCAGATGATTTTAACAGAAATAAAACAACGTTTTTATCATGAGTGAGATCATGGAAAACCTATCAAGAAAGGGAAAAATCAAATCACTCCATATAGACCAGCAGGTGGTGACAAATTTTTTGACGTGATTCCACCCAAAATGTCTCCTGGAGGGTATAATTATGTATACAGGGTTATTGGTAATTTGGTACATTCCTTTGGGGATGTGATAGGAGAAAGGGTAACGAGTGGATTCAACCCTAATATGTATCATGCAAAAGTGAATAGTTGTTTATATATTTACATATATTCACTTATGCAAAAACAAAAATACGACTTTGTAAGTAATTCCGACAACACTGCTAGTGTTATTGTTTACAATTATCCGCAATTTTGCTAAAAATTTACATCTTTTCAACAAATTATTTTATGAGAAAGACTTTAAAGACGGTGTGTACAAGTGAAGATAGTGGATTTTGTTCAGGAATTTTCAACAGAAATTCGTCGAAGACGTGCGATCTTCTGATCAGGTGGCAGGCGCTGTTGCCAACTTGAGTGAACAGTTTTCCTATCTATGAGGAGGAATAACCATGGGTGATAATACCTGCATGAAGTGCAAACAGAAACAGAACAAAAAGGACGAAATTTACGTCTTTGCCTGTGATTCGTGCAACACATATTACTGTGGAGATTGCTCTGAACTAACAACATCTGAGGTAAGATGCATGCCTCTTGCAGAACGACAACTAAAATTCTTTTGCAAACACTGTAGAGCAAATGACTTTATAGAGTGTCACAAAAACACAATTCTAGACAACACCACAATTATAAACGATGAACAGATGATAATTGATACACTACAAGAACAAATAAAGAAGATAGAATGTACCAAATCTTACGCAAGTGTCGCCTCCACTCCTGCTCTGTCGAAAACGCCGATTCGACCTCATACTCCTAAGAATGTTCCTCCGGTACTTATGAAGCCAGAAAATGTGCAAGATGCGGAAGTTACTAAAGCCGATCTTCAATCAAAAATTAATCCGAGTGAATTGAATATTAGCATTAATTCTGTTAAGACCGCGAAAAATGGGGTTGTGGTAATAAACTGTAGTAGCGAACAAGAATACCAGAAATTATTGCAAACTATACAAGAACAAGACACTGAGGAAAACTACACAGTGAAGCTGCCACGAATGAAGAAACCTAGGTTCAAGATTATAATGTCAACAGCAAGCAACGACATGGAAGAAATATCGAACTGTTTGAAACAACAGAACCAGTTTATTCAAGATGACGATGATCTCAATATAACATTCATCAAGCCAATAAGAAACAACAAATCTATCGTCTTTGGTGAATGCTCTGGAGACCTTTTTGGAAGACTAATGGCATACAAAAAGGTATTTATATCATGGGAACGCTGTCCAGTCTACGAAGATACTCGAATTCCTAGATGTGAAAAATGTTTTGCATATGATCATAAAGAAACATTCTGTAAGAATAAACTCTCTTGTACATACTGTAGCTTAGAGCACAAATCAGAGAATTGTCAAAAAACATTGAAAAAATGTTGCAACTGCTCTCGAGCAAATGAGAAATTCAATTTGAATCAAAATGTTGAGCATGAAGCTTTTCCTTCTGAATGTCCAACATATAAATATTTTCTACAAAGATATAAATCCACTATAGACTACTACTCAAAGTAGTATTATTTTGTTTCTGTCTCTGTAATTTACAGTTAGTTTATCTTTTTCTTCATTTTTGTATTTTGATGGATATTGATCATATTCTTAATTCATTAGAAACGGAAACTGAATTAGAACAGTTGCAAAAAGTCATAGAGACAGATGACTTCAGGACCAGAATAAGGACTAGCAAAAAGATTCTGGATATTTTACACTTTAATGTATGTAGTGCCATCAGACACTTTGATGAAATTTTGATAATTTTACAAGAGTGTGACCTTCTGAATATTGACATCTTGATTCTGGGTGAAACAAGAAATAATTTTTCACCTGATCAATTCAATATTCCCGCTTTTTCAACCTTTTTCAACAATAGTCCCCTAAACCAAAATGGATGGACTTCTTATCTTCATAAACAATAAAATCAATTTCGAGATAAAACACACTGTAACACCATCTTCACATGTCACTTTAACAGAAATTGAGTTTGAAATTGATAATATGTCTTTCAATATTGTCACTTGTTACAGATCACCCTCCACTTCAGAACAAAATTTTGTAATCGATTCAGAAAACTTTTAAGTTAATCTGCAGAGTGAGGATTTTACAGTATTCTTGGGTGACATAAATGTAAATATTATGAATCGCGATCTGGCTATAACAAATAGCTACTTGACCGCACTTATTTCTCTGGGATACAAATCGTATATAAATACACATACTAGAGTTACAACAGATACCGAGTCATGCATAGACCATATCTTTGTTGAACAAAATTTAAACAATGCCAATTTGAACTTATTTTCGGCAGTCATCAATAACAATACAACAGACCACTACCCTATATATCTGCAAATCTGCAACAAAATACAAGAAAAATCACACCCCTTGAAAAAACTATCATAAATGACAAAAAATTATGCAAACAATGTGTGGAAGTTTTTTGAAACTTTTATGGAAATATTTCACAATTGCAGAACAACAAAAGTGTTAAAAAATTGAATGCATGTTAAAATAAAACCTTGGATCACAAATGCCATCATAACCTCTATAAAACACCGTGACCAACTGAAAAAAGACTTAATGAAAAATAGAAACAATCATGTTCTTATGCAGACGTACAAAACATATAGGAATAACATAAAAAGAATTATAAATGAAGCCAAAGCCAGACACTATCGCGAACTTGTAAATTCTAATAAAAATGATATTAAAAAAATATATAACTCAATCAATGAAGCAACAAACGCAAATGCAAATTGAAACAGTGAAATGAACATACTAAGTAGCAATAAAAAACCGTTTGAAAATACAAATCAGATGGCTCACTATTGTAATGACTACTTCACAAAGATAGGACAGCAAATGGATGCCAAAATAAAAGCTCCTAACAATTACCGTAATTCCCATAATCGCCGCGTCACTCGAAGTATGTTCCTCAAGTCAGTACAAAAAAACGAACTCATTTTACACATAGCGTCACTCAAGAATAATAGTTCCTCAGGGTTTGACGAAATTAGTACTAAACTTATGAAAGATCACCACTCATTCATTATTAATCCGCTCATGCATGTCATAAACCTAATCTTTCTCCAGGGAACTGTTCCAAATGACTTCAAAAAATCAATAGTGGTCCCAATCTAAAAGTCTGGAAATGAAACCGAAATCAGCAATTTTCGACCAATAAGTCTAATAAGTACTTTTTCTAAATTATTCGAGAAATGCCTTGAAGACAGACTATCAAATTTTTTTATTAAAAACAAACTTTTGAATAAAAATCAGTTTGGCTTCCAAAAAGGTGTTAGTACAAGTCATGCTATATTTAGACTTGTTGACTCTATCGAATCTGACTTGAACAAGAACAAAAAATGTCTGGGTGTATTTTTGGATCTTGCAAAGGCCTTCGACACAGTGCCTCATGAAAAACTGCTAGAAGTGCTTGAGCACAATGGCGTGAGAGGCGCTGTGTTGAACGTCTTCCGCAGTTATCCGAAGGACATAATTCAGCAGGTTAGAATAAATAACACCATGAGCGACTATAGAACGATCAATTTAGGCATCCCGCAGGGAACTGTACTTGGTCCTCTCCTATTCGTTATCTATATCAATTCATCACTGAGCAATAACATACAAGGCTTAATCATATCGTATGCGGACGACACAGTTTTGGTATTTAGCGATGATACTTGGGAAGGTGTGGAAACTAAAGGAGAACTTGGTATCGCAATGGTGAAAGACTGGCTAGACTTTAATGAATTAACCCTAAATATAGATAAATCAAAATTTATTGCATTTTCTCTAACTGATGTCAACAGACCAAATTTCAACTTCCTACAGCTACCAAGAACAGGACTAAAAATTAATGGAGTTAGCAAAATTATGTATTTAGGTGTCATAGTAGATAAAAATTTAAAATGGTCAAATCATCTTAATTATCTAGTTGGTAAAACGAGAAGGCTAGTTCTCAAGTTTTATGAGCTACGTAAATTCATGAATAAAAAACTTCTTATATCTATCTATAAAGCTGTAGTTGAGTCTATTCTACAGTAGGCTATTATTGTGTGGGGTGGTCTATACATAAACTCACTCGAACCTCTGAATGTTGTACAAAACTATATTTTAATGGTTATCTTTCAAAAAGAAAAACAATTCGCTACGGAAAAGCTCTATGACGACAATATACTCAACATTGGAATGCCATATTTTCTTAATATTTGTCTTTTTTTGTATAAAAACAAGGACTTACAAACAGAAGTTGAGCATACATACCAAACTAGACAAATATCCAACCAGAATTTAATTGTTCCTTTTTACAGAAAAGGCGGTAACCAAATATACATTACGAGCCTAGCTCCAGAAATTCACAATTCTATACCAATTCACATAAAAAATGTTTCTAAATATGATGCATTTGTAAAAAAATGTAAGCCAATCATGTACAGTAACTATAAAATATTTGTAAAACTAATGTAGGTAATTCTCTGCATTTCGTGCATAAGATTTTTCTTCCTTTTATTCTTGTATTTATTCTCATTACCTTAGCATTTCTTCATTTGAGTACATGTAGGTTGTAGGATAATATTATTGATAACAATAATTTATTTCACTACTTTATATGTTAAGAAACTAACATAACCTCTTAGATTTTTGCACATACAGATTGCTTGTTATCTAGGTGCAATAACTTATTTAGGTAGTTCCAATTATTGTGAAATGTTATTCAATTATTAAATAAACCTATTGTAATTCTTTCTGAATAAAACTATTTCTGAGTATTAACAAATTATCTATGATCTGAAATATTTCTGAGATTTTTTCAATCCAAACATAAGACCTAAGTTTGATCTTGTTTCCTAGTTGAGAGGTTGAAGAAATATAGGGCAGATTTTCGACCATCAAAGTCTACATTTTGGAGAAAATCAGAAACATTTCATCATCTCAAAAACTATTTACTTTTACATAATGCATATCAGGGTTCAACTCACTCCTTACCACGTCCCCTATTACATCTCTAAAGGAATGTATCCAATTACTAGTAACCCTGTATATTGAGATAAAAAATTATGCATAGAAGAATTATTTTATCAGGTCTTCGTGAAGTTAGGCATGTTCTCCGTACTACCGCTTCAAGAGTGACATAACTCTAAAATCGCACGTTCCAAAATTTTAAGGGCATTTAGTAAAAAAAACTTCTGAATCTCAATCCCTAGAAGTATCACAATTGTATTTCTAATAGTTTTTACGAAATAGCACCAGTATTTCATTATCTCAAATTCCCTATGCTTGAATTCTGAATAACCGTATCCCAGCAAGCACATCTGTTTTTTTTTTTTCGCTTGGAGCGCACGAAAGGGAATCCCTATAATGTTCAAAGAACATCGTGCGTTCCTAGGGAGGATAGGGACTGGAGGTAGGTATCAGAATTTTTTCTGAACTTTTGGATATTATATGTTGTTGGGAATACTTCCATTGGCAATGAATTCCAGAGCCTAGCCGTTCTATGGATGAAGAGTCTTGATAAAGTGCTGTTCGACATCTTTCGAGGTTGACAACGAAAGGATGTGCTGACTGGGCTTGTCTAGTTCGTCTGATTGGTATTGCCAGTGAAGGGATGATAGCAGAGATTTCCGAAGAACATTTCCCGTGGAAGTATCGATAGAAAAGTGAAAGGTCGCTGACCTTTCTACGGTGTTCCAATGATGTCAAAGAGTGAGTGAGTGTGGCGTCACCCACCAGGCGAATGGCCCTTCTCTGGATGAAATCTAAGAGCATCAACGTATGTTTTGGTGCTGAACCCCATATGTGGGAACAATATTCTAGAACAGGCCATATCTGCGCTTTGTAGATCATGAGAAGCTGTTGAGGTGTAAATTAGCTTTTCGCACGGAACAAGAATCCGAGTTTTTGTGAAGCAGCTCTTGCGATGGATCTGACATGATTATCCCATGAAAGAGTATTGCTGATAGAAATACCGAGCATAGATATGGTGGGCTTGGTGGGGATGGTGGAGCCAGACATTACAATATTGGGCATACTGAGTTCCACCTTTATAGAGAAAATGCAGGCTTGAGTTTTGGTGGCGTTGAATTCAACTAGGTTGTTTGTTCCCCAGGCTGTGATTTCAGCAAGATCTTCATTGACAGCATCGACCTGCCTGCGCCGTGAGTTCTTAGTTTCCTGAGAAGAAATGGGGATTCTGGAACTTTTTTATATAA